CCGATTTTAAAAATTCTTATACCGCTAGAAAGGTAATTTGTCTGTCAGTAACATGGGCTATATTTTTTTAAATTCCACGCAGGCGAAGTCGCGTAATACATAATAATGAAAGTCCTTCTAGATTTAGTTACTTCTTACAAAACTGTTAGCTCTTAAATTTGCTCTAATCCATGATAATTTAAACGTAATAGACAAATAGTTTAAACTATCCGTAAGACGAGTAGTCTCGAGTGTATTAAATATTGCAAGGAGTTAGAGAGCGAGCCGTCTGTTTGTCCGTTTAACTACCAATTATTTGAAGCGGCGCGGCGCGGTCGGCAGCTGCGCTCTGAATTGGTTTAGGACTATCGCATCCGAGTTAAGGCAGAACCGAAGTGGCATCTGATTGTTTGTACTCCCAGTCACTTGGAGTGCACGATTTATTAATAGCTATACAAAGAATGTCATAGGAAAATGGTGATAATTAAAGCATCTGATAATATGCGACCCGATGTTATCGCTAGTGTCTGCTACTATCTTGTTTTTTGTCTATTTTATATTTTTCAATACTCGACGGAGGAGCTGGCTTCCAATTTCTTAGCTTCTTCTCCATGGCAATGGGTATCATCAGAGGAACTTTTAAACGATTTTAAACTGAAGAATATTTTACTGAATAAATTATGAACACAACTTTAACAGAACAAAAAAAATCTTAACACCTAAATGTACACAATCTAGACTTAAATTTAAAAATAAAACATTAAGATGTGTCCACAAAAGTAAATACTGTTAACTGTTACTTCAAAGTATGCAATCAATAAAGATGTCCAGTACGGTAACGTTCTTGGATAGCCTCCCTTATTGCAGATTCACACTAAGTTGAATTAATGACACAGAGCAGGCTGTACTGCTATTAGCAGACGTACAACATACACTTTTTATATAAGAGGAGGGGCAAACGAGTAGCGGGAACACCGAGATGTTCATCGACGCCCATGGTCATCCGCAATACCAAAGGAACTGCAGATGCGTTGCCGACCTTTGAGAAGGTGATAAGCTCGCTTGAAAAAACTTTAAATGTTGTTTGTGAGTTTGTAGTCTAGATGACCAATGCTGTTCTGTCTGACAATCGTGTGGGGATGTAGCCAATAGCAGTACTGTAGTCTATAGTGCTCTACACTGATCTGTCTTCGTGTGAAACTGTTACAGCCAACAGTTGAATCGTCCATGTGATTACGTGCACGCAACCATGAGGCCACTAAACACCACTGTCATCAAACAATTATTTATTCAAATAGCAAACATCAGTTTTATTCTGCAACTGTTCGCGAACGGTACTTTATTTTGTAATTTATACTTATAATCTATGTACTAATAATATAAAGAAGAAAGATCTGTATTTGTAAATTTATATTATTTAAATAACTCAAAAACTGCTGGGCCGATTTTGAAAAATTCTTTTACCATTAAAAGCTGCGTTAAATTTCACGTGGACGAAATCGCAAGCATTAGCTAGTCCATAATATTTTTAATTAATATTTGAATATAATATGAGCAAACGAGCAAACGGCGACCTGAATTCGCCGAAAACGAACCTCTGCCCATAGTCATCTGCAATTGCAGACGGAGAAGGAGACGCACATAGAGATGAAATTTCATCTAGGTAAATATGCGTCTCCTCCACCATCACACCCACTTTTCCTTCCCATCCTTTCCTTATAAGAGAAGGACGGGAAAGAAAATGGAATAAAATTAGGCCTCCGTCACATACATTCATCGGACTACGCGGAATTGCTCTCACTCGACACCTATCTTCTGTGTGGTCGTGGTATTGCACTTGGCGAGCCATTCGTGCGAAGATGTTAAAGCAGGCTCTACCACTTTTAAAAGCCATATTAACATTATAAATGCAAATTTAGATGGAACGATAGATTTTTGTTAGAGTTCGTAATTTAAACGGCTAAACGGATCTTGATGAAATTTGGCATATATGAAGAGGATAAACGGAAGAACAGATAGGCGACTTACTATTGTTTTTTTTTAATTCCAGACGGCCTGCGTTCGAGGCTAAAGCTAGTATTTCAATAAAGTTAAAAATCCGATCTGTGTTAAATTGTATTTGAAAGATTCTAGCACTCTATGTATTTAAGACCCTTAGGCACTCCTTTATCCTGTACTACCGTTACTGGGTAGCAATTAGGATCGCAATTATTTATTCTAACAGCAACGTCCGTCGAAGTCGTAACTGAATATAAATAGATTTGCTATGTAACACGTCTTAACACACTGCGATTTTCTATAGCGAGTTTTATTTCAAAGAAAATTGTTAAATATACTCGAAATCCACGAAATTGATACATATGTCCACAGAATTCATTTCAAAGTATCTATTATCCAATAAGATAGAGATTGCCTGTCCAATGTCCTTTTAGAGCAATAGTATTGCGTTTGTACTCATCGAAAACTCGCCACAATCAATGCCTCGCTTTTGAAACGGCCAGCTGGAACTCTCTGAAATCTATACAACTGACAACGACCAAAGATATCCAATCTTACTTAGCCAATATTCAACGACCATTGATTGCGATCCTTACTTTGCCAACAATCAACGACCATTAATTGCCAACCTTACTTCTACTATACAACGACCATAGATGGCAAAGTCATGTGCTTTTTTATAGTATTACTAGCTGTTCCCATGCGACTTCATCCGCATGAAATTATAAAAATTTCATTTTATTGTTTACATTTGTTAAATTATCAATTGCAAATGTCAAAATGACATGACATGATGTCAAACCATGGCAATCATAATTCCTTGATGTTGGCAGCAACTTATGGTCTCTTTCTCACATTGGGGTTTTTATCCAAAATATTTACCCCTAAGTTTAATGGCTTGGCTTTTATTAAAAAAAGAGTTATTAAAAATATGCTGTAAATGATGACATCTCCGGCAACAAAGTGTGTGTTTACGCTTTATTATATTAGTATAGATTTGACTAATAACGAATCGACCGTTGTCCATAAAAATTCTTATTTATAGATGCGTTGTCTATCTTAAATCCGCAGAGGAGGGGAAGAAGATATTTCCCCTACCTATACATCCTATCCCGCGAAAATTAGGCCTTCTATACGCACACTCAACAGACGAAACGAGGAATTACCTCCACCTTACGATAGTTTTATGTGGTCATTATACAAGGACAAGCCAGTCATAGTGCAAAGATGTTCTACTTGTCTAAAAAAACATAGATTAACACTTTAGTAGCCTCTAGCATGAAAGACTAAAGTGAAGACAGGTCAGTGAGTGCTCTTTAGTTAAGATCTTTACACTAACCTGCGACGCAACACGTGCAAAAACCTATTATGATTATCTTATGATAACAGGTTTATTGTTTATATTGGTTTATTGTTTTGTCTAAACTTTCACATCATACGTCATACCAATATCATAAATGGGAAAGTTTAAATGGATGGATCGATAGACGGATGGATGGATGTTTGTTAGAGTTTGTAGGCTAAATGGCTGAATGGATTTCGATGTAATTTGGTATACATGTAGAGGATAGTCTTGAAGAACACATGGGCTACTCACTTTTGTTTTTTTTAATTTCGCGCGGACGGAGTCGCGGGCGGAAGCTAGTTTATAATATTAAGTAAGATAAGTAAGATTTAATAATTTACCACGCTTTAAAATAGATATGGATAGTTTTAAATACATTAAAAACGCTAGGCAATATCCTCATACTTCTGCGAGGTGTCGCCTTAGCTCGTTTAAATGTAAATTTTCCCTCTGAGCAACCTCCTTCCGCTGTGGTATTTTTTCAATCAACGCATTTAATCGGTCTGGAATCGATTTGAACAGTCGAAGGCAACCCTTACTGATAATAAAGTTTGTTTAATAAAGTGTTAAATTTGAAAGTCCCCTATTTACTGTTTTCTTTATTTGCTAAATTATTGGTATACTAGCTTTCGCAAGCGATTCCGTTCGCGTGGAATTAAAAAAACTAAGTAGCCTGTGTTCTTCCACAGTATACTCTACATCTGTGCCGAATTTCATGGAGATCCGTTCAGCCGTTTAAGCTACAAACTCTAACATCCATCCATCCATCTTTATACTTTCGCATTTATAATATTTAATACTTAACAGAAACTCCAATTTTATTATATGTATAGATTAGGTTAATTTTTACCGTGAACGGTGTATCGTACGTTCTAATTCTGTATTTTTTAGTATGACTAAGATATAAAATTTTCTTTAGCCTAAAGTTATTTATAGGGCAGCACTTGGTTTACTCGCCGCCGGAAATTTTGTATGCCAGTGTTTACATGAGTAACGTACTTCACATATTTCCGTTATAATTGCTATTATCTATAAAAAAACTCCATACATTATTGTTCCGTAATTTAGGTTGATTTGGAGATCCCGAATGTGGGTTAGGGCCGAGACTTTTCCCGGTAAACGTAATTAAAAAATAAAAAATTGTATATTATGTTTTTAACTAAACTACGAATAGTGTTAATTATTTTCCTATAAGAATATTCTAAAGTTACTAATATTTCTATGGTCGATATAAGACATACCGATGTTTTTTTATACAAACCCTCCACTCTACTTTTGTCCCTCTATAGCTAGACTCGGATTTATAAATTGTTTGTACATCCAATAACGGGTTTCAGATATCCATAGGAACTATATACGTGTACTTAAACCATAAATGGTATACGGTTTTAATATGAGTGTCTGCCAAATATCGTGAGCCGCCTCCGCACGTCCGGCCACCCGGCCGGGCTATCACGCCGCGGCCGCGCTACGCTAGCCGGAAGCGAAGTGTATGCAATGCAAACCAAGCGACGATTCACAATTACACACACACTCGATTTTCCATTAGCGGATCTAGGTGACGTAATGTTGCCTTATTAGTATAGTACAGCGTGCGGGGGAGGAAGCGCGGTGCGGCGGGGTGCGCCGCGATCGTAAGGGGGCGGCGCGGGTGGGCGCGGGCTCAGTGCCGCCGAGTGCAGCGCCGCGGGTGGACGTCGTGTGTGCGCTCCCATCTTGAGACAATCTCATGCCAAGTTCAAGCGCGGACAACGAACTTGCATCACTACGATACTATCCCTCCGGCGTGCATGAAATTTATATCTTCAATGAACATTATTCACAATTAGAGTAATAAAGAGACCCAAGTCGCGGTTCACTTTCTGTGATCATCCAAAACTGACTAAAAATAGGTTAGCGTTTGTGTTATAAGCGTTTTGGATACGGTAATAAAAGTGTGAGTAACAAAGTATTGTGGCAATTGAGGAGAAGTTGTGTGGGATGAAGTGATGGCAGCGTGGCTGGCTGACTTAGAGTAGCGGAGTTGCAGTGGCAGCCCTAGCGCAGTGCGACCAGCGCTGCCGACCCTTACCATGCATGCACATCAGGTAATGCATCCTTGCGCCTTCCTCACTCCTCAGCTTTATTATTACTTACAATATTAATTAAATTTTGTATGGGCAATGCGATTTACTTTCAGTTTTATTTCAACAGAAGCGAGTTTGTGTTGTGCTTAGCTGTGCCCCTGCCTCCTGCCCCCTGCCCCCTGCCTCCTGCCTCCTGCCCCCTTGCCCCGCAGCCGCCTCTTTATGTCCTTATTATTTTATTTTCCTGATTAGCATGGCGTAGTACTTTTACTTTTCCCTTAATTATTGGTATCTTTGCGATGAGTTTGTGTTGATTTTTGTCTCGTACCCACACAAAATGACCAAATAATTTTAATGAATGTAATGTGAACTTTTGATTCTCGTTGGAAGAATTAAAAATCTTTTTGCCATTTGAATATTTTGAGAGATGTTTACCGTTGGGCCAATCTTCCAGCCGATGAAGCGACTCAATGGGAATTTTTCCAATGAGAATGGTATGGATTCAATCTTTCCAATGGCCCAACGGGCCCTTGTTGAGGATACATAAGCTTCGGTACCAAGTTTCATTTTAACGAGGAAAAGAATCTTTCGAATATAATCTTCTTACGTTGTTGAAGGACTTTTCTTATTCCGCTTCGCTTCAAGATGTATTCGATCCAATGTTCGGTACAATGGTACATTTTTCTTAATAAATAAAATTTCCATAAACATGAAAGAACTCCTTCGATGTCTTTAAACTTTCTACTTTATAATACGATTTTAACATAAAACAAGAAAATAGGCGTCCACTAAGCTCCCTTTCAATACAACAGATCGTTATGTGTCACCGGCAAATTGTGTATTCGGTCCGTTTGTATTTTGCCCCAACAAGTATAGTCTTTCCAAATAGCATATGGAACGAGTTAATTTACAAATTGCGGTATTATATTTCTACACTTTGCATAGAAGTCAATCTATTTGCTTTCATTCACGGTAGTCAAGAATCAGGGACTTTTAACATTGTTTTTGTATTTTTTTTATTAAATTCTGAAATGTCGTCGTCAATTCGAAATAAATTCCTGCATTTAACAAGGTTTAGATTAAATCCAAACGCGCTGGGTCCACGATTTATCGGTGACATACAAAGAGTGATGTTTGTCGGGCTTGCGTGCTTACATGCACCATCGAGCACGCGTGGGCGAGCCGGTCGCTCGGCACTCCGCTACACCCGCTCCTTTACTCCGGCACAGCTCCCGGCAACACCAAAACATTTAATGACATCCATAATCATTTCCATTTGGCACAGCCCTACGCTATCTAAGTGACGCACTATGGGTCGTTTAATACACACTAAAGTAAACAGAAATCATAACTGCGTACATCAGTTACACTGTTTGTTATCTCATGCCAGACTCACTTTGTAAATATCAACGTCCCTTATATTTATAAACTGATTCATTCAACATTTCTGAATTAACGCAAATCTTCCAATATTAACCACTAGCTGTGGCTCGCTACTTCGCCCGCGTGAAATTAAAAAATATAGACTATGTTACTCGCAGAAAAAATACCTTTATAACATTGAAAGAATTTTTAAAATCGGCCTAGTAATTTAAAAAGTCTAGTAAACTTTCAAAGATTAGACGATATCCAGCAAAAAGTGGAAAAACATACCCATTGTGGTCACCTTGGTACATTCGGTTTCACATTTTATTCGCCAACTAATATTACCGTGCGAAAATATAATGGAAATTTTATTTAACTAACTGTTGCTCGCGTCTTTGTCCGCACGGATAAATATGTTACAACGTAGCTATTTATTGGTGAAAGAATTTTTTGAGATCAACCCAGTAGTTTTAGTATATTTCATTACAAACAAAAATACAAATTACTTCTCTTCATATTAAGTAAAGATGATAGTTTAAACGACGGAAATATAGCTTAAAAATCTACCACTGCTGAATGAATGAATGAATGAATATGTATTTAAAAATAGGAATTACATAAAAGGACTTATTCTAAAGAAAACACAATCGTGGCAAAAGGTAGCCAGCTCAGCGTATGCTGGACGGAATAAGCCGTTCCTGCGCTGATTTTCAGCTGGCTCTTTCGCACTCAAGTAACATATAGCTTAATTATTAGGGTAACCGGCCGTACTAATTACATACCTATACAGAAATGAAAAATAAAAAAGATTACTACTCGTATTAACAGATGATTATCACGTCATCCTCTTTAACAAAATAAAGACAATCAGGAGTCTTTCACTTCCACAGACCAAATCCAGTTAACTTAATAGCCTAAATAATTATCGTCGATTTAAAAAAAAAGTTAATCGCTCCGATTAGGTTTTAAAAATTACATAGCTACTCTGTGCGGATGATACGAGTCATCTTCCGTAATGGATAACAGATGGATAACAATTATTTACTGACTAGCTGTTCCCATGCGACTTTATCCGCATTAAATTATAAAAAAAATCATTTTATTGTTCACATTTGTCAAATTTTCAATTGCAAATGTCAAAATGTCATAACATGATGTCAAACCATGGCAACCTTACTTCCTTGATGTTGGCAACAACTTATGCTCTCTTTCCCTCATTCGGGTTTTTATCCAAAATATATACCTCTAAGTTTAACGGCGTAAAAATATATAGTCTAAAGCGTGACATAAGTGTAGGGCTTTTTAACAACAAGAGATTTATTCGGAAATATGCTGTGATTGCTGACATTTTGGGCAACAAAGAAGAGTGGGTTATGCTTTATTATTTTAGTATAGATACATAGATTTACTTACTTATATTAATGGCATAATTTGTATGGATGTTTGTCACTTTACTTTAGAACGGTTTAACGAATCTGGAAGAAATCACTACATAGTGTAGAACAAAATCACTTCTGCATCTGTCCCTATGTATAATATGCTTAGATTCTAATGTTATGTCATAGATTGACACAATTTTTAACACTTACAAGGTAAATAATAAATAATTATCAACTAGGTTTGGGCTTTAAATAAGAAGAGACAGTTTTGAACTTTTAAACTGCAACATGAAGTCACGGGCAACAGCTAATTTTGTACAAATGACAGCCTGGAATGACGCATAATATTTTTTTTTTAATTCCCCCCAGATGGAGTCGCCGGCGATAGCTTGTTTATTAAATAAAAACGTATTATGTACTAAGATTCTGCGTCCGGCGCCAATTGATCTTACGACCTCCGAGATAACTAAATACAGCAAATAGCTTTGATGTGTTCAGTGGCTTCGAAACGAAGTGTGTTCGCATATTGTATTTGCAATTATAATTTATGTCTCAGACGATGTTGGCGCCTCTGTATACAAGATGAATATGTAGAATTAAATAAATTAAAGCAACATTTTACGCGAATTAAAAGTAAAGAATCTTTCTACTTACCCTACCTAATCCCTATACTAAATTAGAGGTACATACATACATATATACACGCTGGCCCAGTGCGGATTGACATCTTTGAATGTCATTGAAAATTATTTCTCACTCCTATTGTCATTGTCAGTTGCGCTTATTAAAGAGGAATTCCTAAGACAAATAAAGTGCTTCTTCGAGTCCAAAAGATCGGTTTAATAATGAGTATTGATGAAATGTCTTCAAACGATTGCAAATGGAAAAGTAAATTATACAAGTTTTTTATATCATAAGGTGGCAAACGACCAAACGGCCACCGGAACCCGCCAAAATGGCGAAGCGACCGCTGTCCATAGCCATCCGCAATTGCATATGCGTTGCCTACCATCATCCGACGGAGGAGGAGACGCACATAATGAGGATATTTCCCCTTCCTATGCATCTCCTCCACCGTCAAATCCACTTCCTCTTCCCATCCTCTCCTAATAAGAAAAGGGTGGTAAAGAGAAAGGGACTAATATTAGGCCTCCGGCACCACACTCATCAGACGAAACACGGAATTGCTTCCATTTCACGCCTGTTTTCTGTGTGGTCGTGGTATTACACCGGGTGTGCCGGCCTATTCGTGCTAAGATGTTAAAGTGGGCACTACCACTGTTGAAGTTATGTTAAGTTGAAGATCCTGCGGGAGGCCGATTAAAAGATGGCAAGATGATGTCGAACGAGATCTTTAAAATGTCTGCATTAAGGAAACAGAAGGCCCAAGATAGACCGATATGGAGGAATATACTGGACCAGGCCTAGGCCCACCCGCGGCTGAAGTGCCTCTGACGATGATGATAAAATGTAGCCAGGAATAAATATGTTTTATCTTACTATGAATTTTGACTGCAGTCACTTGCGTTAGTAAATATTGTATTCTGTTTTTCCATATAATGAGAGGAATTGCAAGTATCAAGCTATTCTGTAGTCAATACAATAATTCTTTAGATTTATATTTTTTAATGCTTACTGAATTCGAAATTGTTGCTTAACATTTGTTGTGCCATATTTGGTCCCTATAAGCTGTATAATTAGCCATTGTTCTTTGCATCTTAGAGTAGATTGTCCTTCGTTCGGCGCCCTCTTGCCGCGCCCTTCTAAGGGCTTGTGCACATTGGGGAAATTAAATGCAATCAAACCTGCAGTACTCTTTTTCATTCTTTATAAGACTACGCACTAGTATAACTATGTAATTGTCATATTTGGAATTTAAAATTTATAACTACTTTAAGCGTTTAATGAATGTCTAGATTATCATGGTTAGATGCGTTACTTTAATAGAAGCATGAACTGCAAGTTTGGACGCTCATCCACAATAACTACGCTAGTGTGAACCCGCCCTATTGCCACCGCAATTCAGAGCTAGTCACCCTCTTTAACAATTTATTTACTCTCTTAGCAATCTCGATAAGGTTTTAGCGATCGATACTGACGATTTAAGTGTCATCTATTTTTCATTAACATTTTGCCAAACTAAGTGCTGTTTTTAGTTTTTCTTATTTTTTTTTAAAGAGTAGGTATGAACACAAAATTGAACATCGATGCCTATAGTTATTCGTAATTCCAGATAAACAACAGATTCATTACAGTCCTTTGAGTTTTGAGTGGAGA